CCCCAGGGATAGTGAGGCCCTCCACCAGGGACCTTCGAAGTCTGTCAAATCGTTTTGGGGGAGGGCCTAGGCCCTCCTTGCTGTATCTGGGCTACAATAGTATCCCTCTATAGGGAATGGGCTCCCAAAGTCCATTGTGTTCTAGGATCTAAAGACTGGCTCCACCGTTTGAGGTCCACAGACTGTCTTGGCCTCCTAGCTGGCACCCACATTCAGAGGGTTTGGTTTGATAAAAGCAATATACAGCAAACCAACAGCCAACATCAAACTAAATGGAGAGAAACTCAAGGAAATTCCTCTAAAATCAGGAACAAGACAAGGCTGTCCACTCTCTTCAATATTGTACTTGAAGTCCTAGCTAGAGCAGTAAGACAACAAAAGGAGATCAAGGGGATACAAAAAGGAAGAAGTAGATGATATGATAGTTTACATAAGTGACCTGAAAAACTCTTCAGCAAAGTGGCAGGATACAAGATTAACTCAAAAAAATCAGTAGCCCTACTATATACAGAAGATAAATGTGCTGAGAAAGAAGTCAGAGAAACATCACCCTTTACAATAGCAACTAACAACATAAAATATCTTGAGATAACACTAACCAAAAAACGAGAAAGACCTGTATATAGTAAGAACTTTGAGTCTTTAAAGAAAGAAATTAAAGAAGATACCAGAAAATGGAAAGATCTCCCATGCTCTTAGATAGGTAGGATCAACATAATAAAAATGACAATCTTCCCAAAAGCAATCTACAGATTCAATGCAATTCCCATCAAAATCACAACACAATTTTTCACAGACCTTGAAAGAAAAATACTCAACTTCATATGGAAAAACAAAAAACCCAGGATAGCCAAAACAACCCTGGTACAATAAAGGAACTTCTGGAGGCATCACCGTCCCTGACTTCAAGCTCTATGAATTTATAATGAGTAACCCAAACATAAAATAAAACAATTTCAAGGTAAAAGATTGGCACTCAAGGTTAAATATTTTGAATACATATGTAGATTCTAAGATACAATAAAAATCATTGCTATTCAACTATGCCTCACACTCTACTGTGTCTACCTAGGAAAGTCTACACAGTATCTACAGGAATTTAAGTGCTTATCATGTACATCAATATTAAACAAAAACACAATTAGGCATAAATTCATTGTTTAGAGAACACAGATCATGGTAAAAAATAATCACTAAACTATTATACTCAATAAACAAGCAATATGTTAATATACATTTATTTGCCAATGGAGTAAACGTTCAAATAACTCCTTACCTTTTTATCTTTTGCTTTCAGTGCAGTATGAGAAGTGATATTCTCATTTTGGTGAACACATTCTTGAGCTACGACTGTTTTCACAGGGTCTCCTTCAAGAACACAGTTTAGAAACTGTACCGTGTGTTCCAGGGAATAGCTGTTTAAATATAACATTTATTAAAAAATAAAAATCAAAGTTCTGTAGCATAAATCCAAGCAATTTCTAAGAATATGAAAAAAACGGGCCAGGCGGTGGTGGTGCACACCTTTGATCCCAGCACTCAGGAGACAGAGGCAGACAGATCTCTGTGAGTTTGAGACCAGCCTGGTCTATAAGAACTAGTTCCAGGACAGCCTCCAAAGCCACAGAGAAATCCTATCTCGAAAAACCAAAAACAAAACAAAACAACACACAAAAAAAAAACAGGCTGTAGAGATGGCTCAGCAGTTAAGAGCACTGGTTGCTTTTGCAGAGAACCCTGGTTTTCCCAACAGTATATAACTGTTGTTCCAGATCTAATACCTCTTCTGCCTTCTGTGAGCATCAGGTATACAGGCATGGGGCACACACTCACATTCATAAAAGAAAAAATATACTTATAAATTTTAAGTGTAAGAAATTGGCTTAAGTTTGGGTTTTATTGTTGTTTTTGGTTTTTGGTTTGTTTTGTTTTGTTTTTGGTTGGGGGGTTTTTGTTTTGTTTGTTTTTTTAAGACAGGGTTTCTTCTTTGTATAACAGCTTGGGCTGTCCTAGAATTCATTCTGTAGACCAGGCTGGCCTTGAACTCACAGAGATCTGACTGTCTCTGCCTCCTGAGTGCTGGGACTAAAGGTGTGTGCTACCACTGCCTAGCTTATTTTAAGTTTTTAATATTGAAACAATGTACATGAAGCTTCAAAAACAACCTCTGGAAAATCCAAGGAAAAATAATAAGTAATTTGGTCCCATTTCTTTTTTCTTTTTTTCTTTTCTTTTTTTTTTTTTTCTCTCTTTTTTCTTTTTAAGATAGGTCTCACAATATAGCCCTGGCTGCTTTGGAACTTACTACAAAAAAGACCAAGCTGGCCTGAACTCACAGGGATCTGACTGCCTCTGCCTCCCTAATGCTGTCATAAAAACAACAACAACAACACACACAACAACAACAACAACAACAACACACACAACAACAACAACACCACACACACACACACACACACACACACACACACAGCATGTGTGTCTGTGTACCACATGCATGCCTGGAACAAACCTGAGGAGGCCAGAAGGCATCAGATTTCCTGGAATTGGAGTTACTGACAGCTGTAAGCCACCATGTGGCTTACAAACTCGAGTCCTCTGATGTGCAGCAATTGCTCTTAACCATTCAGCCATCTTTCTAGTCTAAGACTTTGAAAGTTTTTAATAATTAACAATGATGATGATGATGGGCAGACAACAGCTCAACAGGTAAAGACTCTTGAGACTCTTGTTGCCACACTTGATGCCCTGAGTTTGATCCTTAGGATCCACATATTGAAAAGGAAGAGCCAAGTCTCACACTTGTCTTCTGACCTCCACTTCCACCCTACTGCTTACACACACAATCAAAAATTCTGGTGTTTAGAAAAAGCATGTTTAACCTAATTAATCACTACACAATGTGCACATACAGCAAAGCATCATGTGACTCATTAATATACACTTTTGTGTTTATATGCCAGTCAAAATTAATGGGGCAGGGGATATGGCCCAGTTGGTAGAGCACTTTCTAACATGCAGGAAGCCCTGGGTTTGATTCCCAGAACTGTATAGAACCAGCCATAATGGCAGATGCCTGTAATCCTAGCCCTTGCCCTTGAGGTAAAAAGGTCAGAAGTTCAAGGTCATCCTTAGCAACACAACAAATTTAAGGACAGCCTGGGAATCATAGACCATTAGTTGATTAAAAAAAAAAAAATGGTATGTAGGGTCCTGGGTTCAATCCCTAATACCAAAGTAGTAGGTGGTAACACTGATAACTCATTTCCTAATTTCTTTTAATTATTTATTTTGGAGTCAGGCTACATAGCCCTTGTTAGTCTAGAACTTGTGGCATTGCCAGGCGGTTGTGGCACATGGCCTTTTTATGGGGGGTGGGAGGGGTTTCAAGACAGGGTTTCTCTATGGCTTTGGAGGCTGTCCTGGAACTAGCTCTTGTAGACCAGGCTGGTCTCAAACTCACAGAGATCCTCTGCCTCTGCCTCCTGAGTGCTGGGATTAAAAGTATGTGCCCCCCCCCCAAATCAGTAGTGGTGCACTTAGGGAGGCAGAGGCAGGTGTATCTCTGTGAGTTTGAGACTAGTTTGGTATACATAGTGAGTTCCAGAGCAGCCAGAGCTGTTACACAGAGAAACCCTATCTCAAAAAACCCAAAAAAAACAAAACAAAACACAACAAAAAAAGAAAAACTGAACAAAAACCTTCAGAACTTGTGACATGCCTGTAGCCTATATGCTGAGTTCCTGGTCTTATTTGAGGCACATTAGCTGCATGGTTTCTTTTAATCTATATTCCATAAATCTTTCTGGAATCTATACATAGATTATCTCCTTCCAAAATCAAACACCTCCATGCCAATATTAATATTGTAACAAACTCCATTTAACAGTCTGAGGTTCTAGTTTAAAATGGAAGCAAAGCACTGTCTACCCTTCAGCCCCAAGTTACCTGGGCAGGATTCTCATGGTGAAAAGGTAACAAAAAGATTAAAGAAAAAAAAAATAACAAGGAATACAAATGGCTAGAAATTTACTTTCCAAATTATGTATATTAAATTTAAAGTTAATTATTTATAATATATTCAATCAGAAAAATGAACACTAGAAATTGTTTGGGATATACTTCCAATAGTACAGTAAAAATCGCAATCAGTTCTTCTAATACTCACTTGTGATCTTTGAAAATGTCCACCAGGAAATTTTGGTTAATGGCTGGGAATATTTTAAAGAGCTGCTTCTCCTTTAGTTTAGTGGCACAGTCTTTTTCAAACATAAGTGTCTCCCTTTTCTAAAACAGAACAGAAAAAAAAAATCACCCTTAAGATGAAATTTGTAAGCCAGACAATACTGAACCAAAATATAATTATTTTTTTGCAAAAAGACCAACAATTTATAAGAAATCATAGACTTTCCTCACTGATCAAAGGCTAAGGTTAGTAATATAAGTATTCTTACACTATTTATTTATAGCCCATTTTTCCAAGTATTGGAAGGTGTTCATAAATATATATATATATATAATCACATATATACACATACATATACAAACCCAACAAAGTCTATGATACTGTATAACAAGGATGAAGCTCCAGAGTCATGAACCACATAACGATGCTTCAGTAAAGGAGGATCCACCTATATACTGATATATGCTGTACCACACAGCCTGAGTGTGCAGTAAGCTATACTAGGCTGGTGTAAATACACTATGATATTCATACAACAAATCACCTAATGATGCTTTGAGACATTATTCATCATTAATCAATAACTATATATTTAGAAACAGGATATAAGTAAACAAAGACAAAGATTAGAGAAAATAAAGGCAAGAATATAGGATAAAGCTAGCAAGTAAAATTAGTATGTAAGTCCATGCCACAAAATCCTGAACAGTTGCTACAAATTTAGTTCTGAGCCCCCTTAGTGGCCAAAGCAAAGGGAAAGAAACACTCTCAGTGTCCATAAATTGAATACAAGCCAGTTGCTCAGAAGTACAGTAGTGTGTGATGCTGTGAATGTCCTCAAAAACACATCTCCTTAATGGGCAGAAACAACAATGTATAAACACTGCAAATTCAGGTTGACAGAAAACCTTGTAACTAGTAATTACTTCAAATGTTTTCACAAATATATTTACTCAAAAATAACGGTGAGTATTAATAACTTTCATAATCCATAAGGCTGCCTATTCAAAATTAGTACTCCAGCCAGGCAGAGTGCATACACCTATAATGCTGGACGTTTAAGAAAGAAAGACAGGAGTTCACCGACAGCCTGGGCTATATGTTGAGATCCTAGCACAAAAAGTGAAATTTAAATAAAAAAGTAACTAAAGTACAACTGTCAGCCTAAATGAACTTCCTGAAAATCCATTCTTTGTCTATCCCCTGGCAGCCCATCTGTGTGGTGTACCACATGCTCCCTGTGGAGGCTCCACACATTCTACCCGCTTTCTTTTAGACAGGCTCTCCACAATCATCTTCCTGTCTCCACCCACAACATCCCAGGTCCTGGTACACCCAGTTTTTAAAAACTTTTTATGGGAGCTGGAAAGATGGCTCAAAGGTTAAGAGCATTGGCTGTTCTTCCAGACTACCTGAGTTCAATTCCAAGCAACCACATGGTGGCTCACAACCATCTGTAATGAGATCTGGCACCCTCTTCTGGCCTTCGGGCATACAGACAAATGCTATATATATAAAAAATAAATCTAAAAAATGTTTTTAAAAAACCTTTTTATGATGGAGTTGGGGATTTGAACTCAAGTATTCATGTTTGGCAACAAGCATTCTTACTCATTGAGCCATCTCTCCCTAGTCCCTGAATTCTTTCAAATTCTAAATTAAGATTATGACAAAGAATCTTAGAAGCCAGGCAATAGTAGCATGCACCTTTAATCCTAACACTCAGGAGGCAGAGGCAGGTGATCTCTGAGTTTGAGGACAGCCTGGTCTACAGAGCGAGCTCCAGGAAAGCCAGGGCTATACAGAGAAACCCTGTCTCAAAAAACCAAAAAGTAGTAATAAAAATAAAATATTTGACATATGCTCTATATAGCCTGAATTTACACCCCCATCCCAAAAAAACCCTCAATGCTATTCAGAGTTCCTAGTGATCTAACAAGCCATCATGTTTCTAAACTAAGAATTCTAACATTGATGAACTATAAACTCAAGGTCTTATCATCCTACAGTTAATGTTCCTGCTTTATTATTATTATATGTGATGTTTGCTTCCTATGTCTTTCTTCCAGGAACATACCAAAGTGTATTTTCTCCTTGGGGGAACAGTGAAAAGGAAACATCAAACTCTCTTACTAAGGTCTCATTTAAAGTGAGGATTCTTTTAAAGAGTATTTATTCTTAAACCAAGTTGTCTACTTTATTTTTTCTTTACAAAAAAAAAAAAAAAACAGGGTTTCTCTGTGTTGCCCTGGCTATGCTGGAACTAGCACTGTAGACCAGGCTGGCCTCGAACTCAGAGAGAGAGATCCATTTGCCTCTGCCTCCAGAATGCTTGGATTAAAGGAGTGTGCCGCCACCACCACCAAGCTCTTATTTACTTTCTATTACCCAATTTGTTTAAAAAAAAAAATTAAAAGGGGGGGAGATTGACAGAATAAATAAAATGCATTAAATTGTAAAGTCAAAAGACATTCATTTGTATTCATTTGTTAACTACTAGTGAGATTATGACGTAGGTCAGAAGCAAAAGATAAGTTTCAGTAACACTTTTACACTATTCAAGCCTAGTTAGGTTTTCCTATTTCTTTTAAGAGAATCCATTTCTCCAGTTCACTACACTTAAGAAGGATATCTGAAACTGCAGCAAAATTCTAAGATACTACTTGAAGCTACTTTATATAGGGGTGCAATGACAGGAACTTAATCATAAAGACAAGGGGAAAATAAGTTTGAAGAATCTTCGCTCCTCCTACACCTAATTCTATGCATTGCAGCCAAATAAAAAAGGTGACTGTGAGTCACACACAGTCATGTATAAAGCATCTTGGTCACCACTTAAGGATCTCTTTTCCCGTAACTAGAGTAAGTCACTTCCAAAGCCTTCCCATTTTAATTTTTAAATTCCTTAGTAGTCACTTTCAAAATTTGAAAAGAAATATGAAAGAAATCAAATTTACCAATGGCTTCAAATAAGTACACTGAAGTAAAAGACAAAAAGTAAGATTTAAAATAAAGTTTCTAGGGAAGCAGAGGCAGGAGGATCTCTGTGAGTTCAAGGCCAGCCTGATCTCCAGAGTGAGTGCCAGGATAGGCTCCAAAGCTACACAGAGAAACCCTGTCTCGAAAAACCAAAAATAAATAAATAAATAAATAAATAAAGTTTCTATTTGAACTTTAGTTGAAGAGTAGAAGGAAGAAAATTGAATTGTAAATACAAATCCCAAGTTTCTGAATTTTTTTCTCTCAATTTTTTTTGTTTTAAAATTTAAAGATAGGCACATCTTTAAAAAGCAATACAATTATTGTTACTAAATACTATCTTCAAATGAAAGATTTCATATTTTTCTATAAGCAAAAGATTACAGAAGTAAATGTTAAAAACCAACAATGATACAGCGTGCAAACACTTACTTAACACAGATGACCTATGTATGTCAGAGTACCACCTAGCTTGAAGCAATGCCTCAACCAGATTCTATTTAAAACATTTTCAGTTTTAATATCGACTTCAGACAGGTTAAACATGAAGTCCAGATCAGGAGACAGAATTAAACGCAAATCACATATTAAACAACCTGCAGTCAGAGACCACAGATTAGTAGCTGTGACTTCCCATACCAAATCATGTTTCTCCTGTAAGGCGATTTCTTCTGACATTATTTCTCTCAGTGAAACTTTTTTTGTTTGAGTGTTCCAGGGATCCAGTGTCTCAAGTGCCGCTAAAGTCTTCAATGATTTTTTGCCTGCTTTCTGAGATGATTTTTGTTCAGAATTATCAAGAACAGCAGGTCCAGCCAGCGAAGGATCTACAAGAGTAGGAAAGTAGTCATGTATTCAGCAATTGATGTACAAATTCTTAGTCACAAGACAAAAGAAACATGGGATATTAAAATCCTTTTCAGCTTGTAAATATGACACAACTTTGAAATCTCAAAATAAACCTTCACATAACTACAAGCAAGGACTCTTTCAAATGAGCAATGACCAAGGTGTAACTATCAATGAGTTTAATGCTTCCCATTCTTTTCTATATCACTTTGATTCTCTCTCTTCCTTCCCGCCCCCACCCCCAAGAAAAGCTAGTCAATCAGTGCTGGGTAGTGAGCAACTGGGAGAGCCCTGCTTAGCCCCTCTACTGTTCCTGGAACTGAGAAGAACAACACGCTGACAAATAGTGACAGACCAGAGGCATACTATAGATACTGAGCAAATTATATTGAAAACAAAGAACAACCCACAAAGTTCACAGTGATAGGAGTTAACATGTAACACTTCAGCATCTCTAAGGGGTACAGACACATTCTGACCTAGTTCTGTCTCTATGGGGAGTGAAGAAAAGGCAGCCACTACAGCTACTTGCATTTTTATAGCCATAATATAGTCTAGTCACTTCTACCCTCAGCCAACTTTATCTCTCTTTTTAACTATTTGTGTTAATTCTTTGAAAATTTCACACACCATTTTGATCATATTCATCCTCCTCCCCCATCTCCTCCCAGACCTGCTCTCCACCCCAGATGGACCAAAACTTTTGTCTTTCATTTTTCAAAGTCCATCAATCCTTATGAGTGCTGCCTACATACTTTTAGACAGGTAGCCAGCCAGTTTTCTCTCTTGAAGCTACAACATGAGCATAGGTGAAATAAATTGGAGTCCAGGAACCCTCACCCTGAACTTCTTGGCCTGGGTTGCAGTGTGGTATGGACAAAGAAGTACTAACAGTGCTCTTTCTTAGCAGGTCTGCCATGCCATAAACCAGTGTGACTATACTGTGTAAGAAGTCATCTGGAACCAGGGACCTTCAAGTTGGCAGGATTTACCAAAAGAGCAGGTTGTTGGTACTCTGATATCAATAAAGATATGAATAGCCAAAAAATAATTCTACGGGCTGGAGAGATGGTTCAGAGGTTAAGAGCACCGAATGCTCTTCCAGAGGTCCTGAGTTCAATTCCCAGCAACCACATGGTGGCTCACAACCATCCGTAATGAGATCTGGTGCCCTCTTCTGATGTGCAGATATACATGGAAGCAGAATGTTGTATACATAATAAATAAATAAAATCTAAAAAAAAAAAAAAAGAAAGAAATAATTCTACAATACTATCAAGAAAATGAACCCAATTAGTTTTTCTCAATTCAGAGCACTTTGACTTGCATATACAGTGCACAGCCTTATTTTCTCTATGATTCTATTCTGCATCAAGATTCAATGTAAAAATTTTTTTGAGAGAACCTTTATTTGCAGCTGGGCATAGTGTGATCCCAGCAATCAAAAGGCTTAAGAAGGAAGCACTGTGAATTCAGACCAGCCCTAGCTACAGAATAAGACTGTCTCAATAAACAAACAACAAAAAGACAGGTTTTTTCTTTTTTTTTTTAAATGGGGGGTATTTTTTTCATTTGTAAATCAAAACAGAAGATCTCCACCTAAATATTTAAAATGAGTTAAGATTTACTCCAGCCAGAGGTGGTGGAGTACACCTTTAATCCCAGCACCCAGGAGGCAGAGACAGGTAGACCTCTGAGTTCAAGGCCAACCTGGTCGACAGAGCAAGTTCCAGGACAGCCAGAGTGTTTACATAGAGAAACGCTGTCTCAAAAAACAAAAAAACAAAAAAAGAGCACATTCCAACATCAAGACAAAGTGAAAGTCAGGGTATGTACTGTATTTACCTTGCACACACTTGCCACAAGACACCTCCTCCTGTCTCTGTCGCTCCTGAACACAAAGGCAGAGCAAAAGTTGGCAAAGGACAGTGCACTGGGAAACTGAGCTACAAAGTTATAGCGGCTTTCTCTAGAAATCATTATTACAATTAAGTAAAACAATGAAACTATATAAATGAAACTACCAGGCATAGCTATATATATATATATATATATATTTCTTACTTACAAAGCTCTATTTTTTAAGATTTATTTTCACTATTTTTTAAAATTTCATGCATGTATGTAAGTCTGCATGTGGGTATGTATAAAACAAGCACAGGGAGCTCTTCATACAAGGAAGCTACCAACCATTACAGAGTCTCTCCATTTCTCATGAATCACTTTAGCCAGATTCAGATCTATATGAACCACACAATCCTCAACTGTTAAAGACCCTTGTGAAAGGAAGAAAAAAGAAGAGAAAATATAATCATTACTCATCATACATTTGCAGAGAATGCATAATATTAAATTTTGTCATTAATCACTAACACATTTCTATTTACTTGAAATGTTTTTATGTTCTATATCACTGTTTTCATACTAGCTGGGGCAACATGCAAAGCTTCATAACAAATCTCTTTAAGTGGCTCACATCTCCATGCCTCAACAACAGTACATTCCTTTAGTTAAGATTTTCTATAACTGTGTTCTAAGAAATTACTTCCTGCTTTAAATCTATCTGAAATAATACCAAAAGACACAAAGTTCACTTTTGCAAATAAATGTAAGGCAAATACTAGAGAAAACTTTCAACATATTCATGGATATACTGAGATATGAAATTCTATATAAATATTTCCACTTCAAATTATTTTAAATCCTTTAAAACGTGTCATGTCAAAAAATAAGGTACTGTATAAAATTGTGACATAAATTACTGACACATTCAGCCAATGAAGTAATTGCAACTGAAACAGAAACTTGTATATACTGCTTATTTATACACAAATAAACACACACACACACACACACACACACACACACACACACACACACACACACACACGTGCGCATGCACCCACAAACCCACAGATAATTTTCTTTTTCCTTACCTGAATCAATACCAACTGGGCCAAATAATTCATTAAGTTGGAAAGCCAGCTCAGGGTGTAACGCCAACTCCAGACAGTCTATGGTCAGAGATCTGGCCATCATTGGTGTGGGATTCACTACCTCGGTTTTATCCTCTTCACTAACTCCAGCTGACAAACTAGCTCCTGGCATTAGAATTTTCTCCATTTCCTGTTTATCTTCATTGATAAATTCTTGCATGTTTCCAAATTTCACATAATCCGAAGGAAGATTTTCATTTTTCTTTGCTTCCAAAGAGCCAGTAAGATAAACTTCTTCATTTAATTCAGGATTTGAAGTGTTTGTTGCAGAGTTTATAATATCAGATAAATTTAAAAAAGAATGAATACTGCCGCCAGTTTCTGTGGCTACTAGATTTTTGTCCATTTCACTAACATCTTGAAAGACATTAGATTTTGGAGTAAGTGGAAAAGACCGCTTACAGCCGTATGCACCTGACAATTCAGCACGACTGTTAGAAACTATTTCATTACTGTTCTTTGCACTGACAGCAGCATTGGGAAATATTCTGGTTATTAATTCAGGGTTTTCAGGATTTATAGCTCTTATCTCTTCCTGTTTTGAGCTCCCCTTTTCTGCACCACCAGCAGACTGTGTGTTAGTAGTGTTCCTGACACCAACCCCAGCATTAAACTTGGACATAGAAGAATTAGAATGTTCCGAGGTTCCTCTGTGGCCAATAATTTCCTTCAAATCCAACCCCATAGAAAATGGCCCAACTTGGGACTCATCATAGGATTTGGGGGGTTTCTCAACCTCAGTATCCTCACATAATTTAGTCTCAGAATCCAACAAAAGGCTTGTGGCCCAAATAATATCCTTATTACATCTCTCATATAAATCTTTGAGGGCTTCTAGGGAAAATGACCCAAACAGCTTACAAAGGATGTTAAGATTTTCAGACTCGTCAGCACTGGTAAGCTCACTTTCTTCCACATACGTACTTTTATCGTGCATTACTCTGTATGGAATTGCTTCTTGAACATTTAATTTGGTATCAACAGGAAAATCTTTTGGCTTAAACCCATCTAACTTTCCTGTTAGCACTCTGACAGAATCAGAAATACTGATTTTATTCTTTTCTAGTTTCCACAAAAGAGCAAAATCTTGGGGCTCAGTCTGGGCACATGTGCTTGTGTCTACCCCAGAGACTCCCACTGCTAGAGACCGAGGTCCCATGACTCCAGGAAGAGCTGCTGCACTACTGGAAAAGGAAAGGGGCAGTGTGTGCTGGCTAGGAAGAGTTTTACTCAGGGAAGTCTGATTCTCATGAGTTGTTTTATGAGGCAGCATCTCAGATCTACGAAGGGTGGAACCCAGCGATTTCAGTTCTTCAGGACTTGTGCCCCAATAGGCCTCATGTGTAGGATATAAGGGTATTTCACCCATGCTGTCATTAGTTCCAAATTCTAAGTTGGGCTCATTTAAGCCAGCTTTTGGTATTCTCGATCTGTGCTCTCTCTGAGCTAAAGACGCAGATGAGGGCCAGTCACCTACAATGCTGAATGAGGTTTGCTCAGTACTTTTGTAAGTATCATATTGACAGCTACCAGACACTTCTGAAAGATCATCGTTTCCATGTGGAGATCCTTGCTGCTGGATATGATCCGTATTCACAGATACCCTAGTATCTAATACTTTGTGCGACTGGGGACGATTACATTTTTTGTCATTTTGTACAGTTAAACCTTTTTCAGTTTTCCGGTTCCTTTTGGTTCTCTGGCTAATTGTCTTATCAACTGGCCAGTCACCTACAAAATTTGATGGCTCATGTTTTGGAAACTTTTCCAAAGATGATTTGCTTTTTTGTTTTCCAATGGCCTTTTTCTTTCCTATTGTTCTTTCTTCCAGTATTTCAGGAGGTGGAAGGTTTCCACTTTGAAGTGTCCCAGCACTCGAAAGTTCACTGGCTTCTTGATTATTCTCAGCACAGTAACTACCTGATGATGCTCCGTCTGCTCGACTCCAAGCATCTGCTTCAGAACAGTCTTTAGACACCATTGTTTCTTGCTCTTTCTCACTCTTGTCTGTGGCTTGAATTTTGCTTTCAGAGTGAGGAAAACATGTGTTCGGGGCTTCCCGCAAGAAGGGGCTGTGTGCACCATGACCCACAGCACTCATTTCCTTTCTTCCTCTGTCTAAACCTGCACGAGGGATGGGGGGAACACTCTCTGGGAACACTGCTTCTTTGGTCACATCAAGTGTCTTCTCCTCAATTAACTCTAAGTGCTTCGAAGATGTGGGTAAGACATTTTCTTCCTTTTCAGAGGTAATAGCTTCATTGTCTCTTGGGCTACAAGACATTTTTTGAAGTGTGGTAAGAAAGTCTCTTCACAGTACCATTAATACTGTGATTTAAATTAAAGAAGCATGTAACCAGACAGCATTTAGCATTTATTCTAAATATTCAAAAATAAATTACACTAAAGTTATAAAACCTGGGATGGGGATATAAGTGAGTAGAATAGCTCAGAGCCATGATACCCACCCAACAAACTTGGGACCAGTCCTTGAGTTCAATCCCCGGACTAGTGGAAGAAATATTTTACGAGCTAATCTTACCTTTCCCTAAAATACCATAACCACAATCCTTTCTTCTAAATCTAGCACCTGGCATTCTGTGCAGCATACATAAAGCAAACTGAATGGGACAGTAACCTGAAGTTGTCAGTCACAGTGCTATGTGTTAACTATCCCAATGAAGGTTCTAAATGTGTCACATGAGAGGACATTACTGTGCTGGCTTCTTTCATATCCATAGCTTAGCACGGGGTACAGCATATCAGCTTACCTCTAGTTCCATCTGCCATTATTACAGAGGAAGCCTCATTTACAGAACTGCTTCTCAACCTGTGGGTCATGACCTTTTTTTGGGGGGTTCAAACACCCTTTTACAGGGGTCACCTAAGACCATCAGAAAACACAATTCTCTTACATTGCAATTCATATTAATAGCAAAATTAGAGCTATGAAGTAGCAACAAAGAGAAAATGGGAAATACTAAAATAAAAAAGAGATGTACTCATATAACCACAAACTCACAAACCCTCAGCTCAAAGAGAAAATACTCTCATCTTTCACATGAATTTTGACTTCTCTTGCTAACATCCTCAGCTGACTCCAGGTGACACATTCAAATAGAAGTGATTTCAAAAGTTATCATTAAAAACAAAATATAGCTCCAAACTGAATGTTTGCTACATAACATACTTTAACCTACCTAGAACCTCTGTCTTCACAAGAGTATGCACACAACTCAATCCGCTCCATTCTCTCTGGATCTGAGGAACTCATGATTATTGGCACGGACACAAAACGCTGGTAGTGCTCCAGCATTCTGGCTATTTTCTCTTTGCTTACTCCATGAATGTTACGCCTGAAAATGCCAGGGAACAGAAAGGTAGAAAGAACATTACAAGCAACCAAGGGGGGAAAAAACAAAAAGTTAAAAACAAAAACAAAAAGATCACTCAAAGTCCAGGAGAATAGCATATTTCTTATCTTTGTATTTGGTACCAGGGATTGAACTCAGGGTCTGAGGCATGCGAGGTAAACCCTTGACCACTGAGCTATATCCCTAGCACATTAACGACACATTCTAATGTGAGGTCAAGTAAGGATGGCAGAACTGGTTTTTACATGATTCATACACTCTAGTGCTAATTTCATTTTCAACTCATTTTGTTTCAGGAGGTTTGTTTGCATTTGTTTTAAGATGTGGTCTTGCTATGAAGCCTGGGCTGCTGACCTGAAACTTGGGATCCTCCTGCCTCAGACTTTTGGGTGTTGGGATTCCACCACCACACCAAGCCCAGTCAAGCTCTCTTGAATTGCCGTTTTATCAATCATCCTACACAATTTTTCCCAGATGTCCTTTACTAATTCAGGAGGAAAAGAGGTTTCAATAACCTTAAAAGTTGTTCTAAAGCTCTGCAATAGATAAATGTTTGAAGAGGCTCATAAAACAATGACTGTCATTTCAAAAGTTTTAATTAACTATGAGCAATAAGTATCCCACTTTAGTGACTGAGTAAATGTCCCAAAGTGCCTTCCTGTTATAATAAAACCAGATCCCAGCTAAATCAAAACAAACACATTTTATTACATTTTAAGTTCAAACAGTTATTTTCAAATTTCTAGGATATTGTCTCTGGATGCCCAAATATGAAGTTTATTATTTGTGTTCCCAGTCTTGCTCACTTCCTTGTGTGTTTTTGTTAATGAACTTGCAGTTAGTTAGCCTTAACACAGGAATCCTTAGGTCTCAGACTAAGGTTACTTTCTGGACTTGCACTGCTTTAGTCCCTCTGGGGTTGGTTTCTTAATGAAAACACCTCAGTTGTAACTCTTTTAACTTGGTCAGGACTCAAGGCTAATATTAGTGTTTGCCTCTTGGGTAAATCTGGCTTTCATATTTACCTACCTCGATCTTGTCTGGTTTCATATCACAGAGAAGCAAAGAGATAGAAAATATGAGAGAGGTTAAGAAACATAGACATAGAGGCCAGAGCAAAAAAACTGGTCTCGTATACCACTGATTCAAGTCTGAAGAAGAGAGGAGAGGGATGAACAAAAGCAATTTAAAGATAAATGCTGAGATTTTCTAGAACTGATGAATGACACTATGTCCTGATTTCAGGAGTCAAACAAGGTAACAGCATAAGAAATCTATAACTAGAAACATGCGAAAATTGTCACACACCAAAGAAAACCGATGACATTAAGCAAAAAGTTAAAAAAAAAAAAAAAGGCCAGTCATATAAATAGGAGTCAATGAATAGGATGAGAAGATTTAACAACAGTAATATAAATAAAACATAAATGTTACCTTCAACAACAGACACTAGTTGACATTCCAGAATATATACAATAAGTGTCTTAGAGGAATGACACTTAGATGACAAAAAGATTTTCAAATGAAAACTTAAAAAGCAATAGTTTCACACAAACAGACCCTTACTGTAAAGAAAATTTAAAAGTAAACACCAGGCAGACAAACTCTCAGACTAAAGAAAGATCTATGCTGTAATGAGAAAATGAAGCACAAAGGAAATACTTGAACAAAAACAAACACTCATGTATAAATCGCATAATGATACCATGAAAGCTAACAGGTTCTATCATGGGGAAGTTATTTAACGTCCTTGTGTTTGTGAGGAGGACAGCTAAGAATGGTTTAACTTAGACTTGAGTTCTGAATAGTGAACATGTAAGGTGGCCACTAAAAGAATATCAACAAAGCATAATTTAGAAACTGCTATAGAAGAAAACAGACATAAATTACTCCAATTTTCTAAAACATGATGAGAGAAAAACTATATATATATACATATATATGTATATATATGTATGTATATATATATATATATATACACACACACATACATACACATACATATATGTGTGTGTGTGAATATATAATATTTAAATAACAATAATCATAGAAGCCAGGCATAGTGGCACATGCTTTAATCCCATTACTTGATAGGCAGAAGCAGGCAGATCCTTGTGAGTTTGAGGACAGCCTGGTCTACAGAGTCAGATCCAGGACAGCCAAGGCTACACAGTGAGACTTTGTCTCAAAAAAAAAAAAAAAAAAAAAAAAAAAAAAAAAAACTAAACAACAATAATAGGAAAGATAAACAGAAGGTGGCCAAATGTATGACTAACAAACACCCATAAAAGAGCTGCCTCATCATTTGAAGCTAAGATGGGACTGAGCACTATGGTGTTTGCCTGAAATCCTAACACTTGACAGGTGGAGGCAGGAGGATCATGAGTTCAAGGCTAGCCTGGGCTACAGAACCCCCTCCAAACCCCTGCACCCCCCCACACACACACATAAGAAAAGCCAAGGTAGACAGAAAAAAACTTAAAAACCAGCCATACTAGGTACATAAATATATAAGCATTAAGGATATTAAAACATTGAAAGTAAAAGTAAATGAAAAGAGAAAAATTCTCAAATATTAACTAAAAGGATGCTGGTACAGTTCTATCTATTTGACAACCCAGACTTCACAGCAAAAGTTATTCTTAAAGACAAAAGAAAAATCATTGGAAAAGGATAAAGTCAACTTAGAGAACTGTCAAAAATGACAAGCTCTTAGGAATTTCAACTACCACCTTCCAAATATATAAAGCAAACACCGGTGGGTCGACAGAGAGAAACTTATGAGAGGCAATTTTCAACACACTATCTCACACTGGTGAGTTTACCATCCATCAACAAAAATTACCCCATAAGACAAACCAAAAGAAAAGCAAACACAGAAAGCTATAGAACACACTAGACAGTAGAATTGCTAAGTATGACTAGAGACCATATTAACACAACATAACCAGTACATGGTGGGGTTTTATATGCATGTGTGTGTTGTATATGTATGAGTACGGACATGCCACAGCACGCATGTGGAGGTCAGAGGAAAACTTGCAAGAGTTGGCTCTCTCCTTTAGCCATGTGAACCCTGAGACTCAAACTCAAGTCCTCAAGCTTGGTAGCAGGTGCCTTTGCTTACTGAACCCTTTCACAAGCCCCAATACACACACTCATTAAGCAAGTATGGAACATTTAAGAAATGATAATTGGAGCCAGTTATGATGACACAGGTCTCAAACCCCAGAGCTCAGGAGGTCCAGAGGTAGGCAGATCTATGTATGCAGTTACAGGGCCACCAGTACTGATGGGATAGGGAAAATTCCAACTGAGAGGAAACACTTCTCACTTAGCTTATGATACCAAAATCAGGCAAGGCAGCTCAGGGAGGGGAAAGCTGCTTGTTAACCCCACTCATCTACACAAATGCAATAATTCCAAACACAACAAAGGAAACCAGGTCTACTAACACATCAAAAGGCAATAAAAAGAAATTGAGTACGACATGCTGCAACATGGATAAACAGTGAAAACATTTTAAGTGCAAGATGCTGGACAAAAAAGCTCCACATATTCATTGTATATACAGGGTCCAGAAGAGGAAAAACCCCTAGAGAGAATACACAGTAGGGGTTGCCAAGGGAAAAGGAACTGGGGTATTTCTTTGTGAAAAAAACAAAACAAAACAAAAATGTTTCAGAATTAGACAGTAGTGATGGTCATAGAACATTGTGAATATATTAAAGTCAGATTGCCCTTTAGTTAGTATTGAAATTATCAAAAAAACTATCCAAAAATTAAGTTAAATCTTTTATGAGAATACACAGCACAAAGAAAAAACCAATGAGTTTCTTGTTTTGGGTTGTTTTGTTTTGTTTTGTTTTATGAGAACAGGGTTTCTCTGTATAGCCCTAGCTGTCCTGGAGCTTACTATGCAGACCAAACTGGCCTGGAATTCACAGAGATCCATCTGCCTCTGCATTCCCAGTGCTGGGATTAAAGGTGTACACCACTAAGATCAGCAAATGTTCATCTCTTAAACAACATCTTTTAATTCAAGACAAGCAACCAAATAAAGAGTCGGGGTAGGAAACCAAAGTACCTACTTGCTACCTTTCTCTCCCACTTTCTAGTATTCTATAAGCTCCAAGCACATGGCTCAAGTGTACCAACCCCCAGGGTCTGTTCTAGTTGTAGACATTAGCATATTGTATACAAGGAAGTACACAACTAACATATAAGACAACTGGAAATTTCTTGGCCATGTATTATAAAGCTCCCAACTTTTCACAAAATTAGGGGTAAGGGCCAGCAAGATGGCTCAGTGGGCACAGGCACATGCTTGAAGGCCTGATAATGTGTGTTTAATCCCTAGCATAAAAGAGAAGTGATACCAAAGAGTTCTCCTCTGACCTTCACATGAGTGACATGACATGTGAGCCTGCACTCATTCATACATATGCAGACATGCACATAAACATTTTTAAAATAATTATTTCTTAAATGAGATAAAGTATACACAATATAAAATGTTACCAATTTCTAATTGGGCAAGTCAAAATCTAATCAGTTGTTTCACTCATCATTTATAAAGGAAAAAAATCTAGATAAACTTTCAATCAGTGTTGTAGAATAAAAAGCTATGTCAGAAAACCTCCAAGTTTTACCTTGCAAGTTCCTTTGGTTTGAACTTCCACCATGTGTCTGGTTCCCGGAAAAGGACCTTATATTTATGCTTCTGAGACTACACACAGAAAAGACAAAAAGGGATGTAAATAGTTTTTTCATGAAATTAAATGCAATGTTTGCAAATTGTATCACAATAAAAATGAAAGCCCCTCACAGGTGACTTGATCAATAATCTGTCTGCAGAGAGAAGATGGCTCTGTGGTTGAGAGCACTGGCTGCTCTTCCGAAGGACCCAGATTCAATTCCAGCACCCACAGGGGATCTGGCATCCTTGCACAGACATATATACTGGCAAAATCTCAGTGCACATAAATAAATAAATAGGTCTTTAGAAAAAGATCTATCTGCTCTCAGAAAAATGGCAAGGATTATTGAGAGGATTTGAGCTGCAGCTATTGTTTTGGGGTTGTTTGTTTTGAGACAAAGTCTCAAGTAGCCTAGACTGGCCTTAAACTTGCTTTGTAGAAAAGCTGGAATTACTGCTAAGCACCACCACATCTGGCTCTTACTGAGTGGTTCTGTCTCCTGTGAGAAACACTAGAAGTTGAAAAAGGGAACACATTCATTTTGCAAGGTAGAAGATTCTAGTCAAAGAAAGAGCAGGAAGCAGGGACACTGGGGGCTGGAACCACCTCCTATCTTCTTCTAATTTATTCATAATTCTTTTTCCTTAGCAAACATCAGAAAAAACAAGGGCAAAAACCGGAAAACTCAACCTAGGAGTCTTATCTAAACTTTCATCATCTTCCTAGTCTTCCTTGCTCATTCTACAGCTCTGGTGGTTGAAAGAAAATGGCCCCCAAAGGGAATGTTAGGCACTATTAGCAGGTGAGGCCTTGTTGGAGTGGGCATGGTCTCATTGAAGAAGTATGCCACTGTGGAGGTGGGCTTAGAGGTCTCATATATGCTTAAGATACCACTCAGTGTCTTGGTTCACTTCTTGCTGCCTGCAAGATGTAGGACTCTCAGCTGCTTTTCCACCAAGTCTGCCTGCACACCACCATGCTCCCTGCCATGATAGGGGACTAGACCTCTGAACTGTAAGCCACCACCTCAATTAAATGTTTTCCTTTATAAGAGTTACCATGTTCTTTTCACAGCAATAGAAACCTAATTAAGATATTACCCTAGAAGACTAAAGTGGGTCAGAATTAAGAAATTGGGATAAATTGGAATAGGGAAGAAATGGAATTTTACACAATCTCCATGATGCAGCAATTTATTTCCAAAACTTTATGTTACTGATAGTGGTAAAAGAGAACAAACGTGAATAGATACAAATATATGTGCATACCAAGATATTTAGTTCACTATTATTTGTAATAGCAAAAGGACAAAAAAAAAAGGTCAGACTATTAATATGAATTTATCTAAAGAAGTGAGGATATAAACATAAAATAACTTTTGTTTTGTTTTTGTTTTTTTCAAGACAGGGTTTCTCTGTGTAGTCCTAGCTGTCCTGGAATTCATTTTGTAGACCAAGCTGGCCTCAAACTTAGAGCTCCACCTGTCTCTGACTCCTAAGTGTCAGTTTACTTATCCATATATTTCATGTATATGAGTGCTCTGTCATCATGCACACAAGCAGATCCCATTATGGATGGTTGTGAGCTACCATGTGGAAGAGCAGTCAAGTGCTCTTAATCGCTGAGCCATCTCTCTTCAACCTCCCAAAACACCATTTTTAAAATTCTGTATTAAATGAGAAAATGAGAAACATCCCTTAAAATAAACTGATGAGAAAATAAGACAAACAATTTTCACTTGGGAGAAAAAAAGAATTATTCACACATTTGTACATGCACAGAAAACATCTGGAAAGATTCTTTTAAAATACTTTTAAAAGTACTTCTCTCTAGGAAAAGGGGACTTTAGGCATTGTTTTAAAGTTTGGGTATTTATCAAATATGCACAGACTTGTGGCTCCTCCCATTACTTCTCACCCTGACTCCTACTACTCTGAGCCTCTCCCACCCAGAGACTGGGTTTAGCTTCTAATTCCTATCTAACTCAGCATTTTGGCTGGGTGACCTCTTGGTTTCCATGCACTCTCTTGGTCCTCTTGGCCTCCTCTTCTCTTCCTCTCTCTCCCCTCATAGCCCTGGTTTCTTCTGCTGGCCATGTTCAACCTGGACTCCTCCAGATGCCTCTGACTGTTCTCTTCCTCATATCTACACTGAAACCTTCTCCTCAACCACACCATGGAAGAATAATAACCTCATTCTAATTCCATGTCGTTATAATTTAAAACCTGTTGCCAACAACTGCTTATTCCATGTTTCAGAGCACTAGTGTGACTGTAGTACACCCATCAACCACTGCACTTTTGCATTGTACCTAGTCCTTCCTCAGGAAGAACTGATTTGAGCAATCCTCTCTCTCAGACACTGTTCATCTTTCTCTTCCTTTGAATTAATTCCATAATATATAAATACCTTCCACTTATTTCTCTCATCATATTCTACTTTCCATGTACCAGCTATTTAACAGATTCCTTTTGTCTTAAAAAAAAAAACCTATGGCCAAGAGGTAGTGGCATAGGTTTTTAACCCCAGCACTCAGGAGGCAGAGGCAGGCAGATCTCTGTCAAGTCAAGGCTGCCCTGGTCTACAGAGTGAGTGCCAGGATAGCCAGGGCTATGCAGAAAATATCTGTCTCGAAAAATGGAAAAAAAAAAAAAGTTTAGTGGCTGTTTCCTGGAGACTGACCTTCCCCAACCCACGACCTTGATTTGTTTTTGAGAATACCCTAACCCACCCAGACCCTCCCTGACTCTCCCTGACCCTTAATGGGGGAGGGGGGTGACCTCATGATGAAGTTTTTCCTTATTACCCTATTGATTCCCTTCCTGATTTCGCTCCTTAAATGGGACCCAAGAAATACATTCAGGGCTGCTCTCTTTAACCCAACTTAGGAGGCAGTCGCTGGCCAGTACCCCAATAAAAATCAACCTTGCTTCAAATATGGGCTCAGGGTCTGGTAGTGGTCTTATTCCTACCACTGGGATTTTTTTTTCCCAGAAAGGTGAAGAATTATAATTTAAAAACAGTTCAAGTACACAAAACATGATGACTAATGTTATGTTTTAAGTTTAAACTATTGTGCTTAAGAGATCTATAAAACAAAAGTGCCTCTAACCAGTAAGCCCTACTCGCTCAAGGACAGAAATAACTTCCTAAAATACTGGGGACTGATGTTCATGTAAGGTAACAGGCCACTTGTTTTCACTTCTGTAAGCAAGGTTAGCTGCCCCAGTTGCACTGGATGTACAATTGCTCTGACTGCATGAAGGCAAGAAGTAGTAACCTTGGGAGTTTTGCCTTTATAAACCCCTGACTGAGGCCATTTGGAGCCATAGTCTAAGCATGAGTCTTGGGTACCGACTTGGCTGGTATCCATGGTCCTGACCAGTATTTAATAAAGCTGGTGAATCTCTGAGTGACTGCAGACCCATGACATTAGTAAAACAAATGAGATAGACAACAGCCCAGATGCGTTAAGGATGTAAAAAGGAACTCCAATATGCATTCAACTAAGGAAGCATAAATTCTGCTTCCAGTGCAAGAGGACTACGTTGAGCGCTCTGGACTACGTTGAGTGTTATCGCGCGCACGCGCACACACACAAGCTTCATTTATCAGATTTAGTCAATAAAGTTACTATATATCAAGCACAGAGCTATACCTAGAGGATTCAATGATAGGGAGGGGAGGAAAAGCAAGGATAACATTTGAACATCAGAATTTTAAAGCTGAGTAAACTTAGCTTTATACAAAAGCTCAGCCTTATTCTTCTCTTTTCACTGAAAATTAAAGAAAACTCAGTTTAAGGCAAACCAGGATATTCTCAAGTGCTTGAGATTCCACTTGTGAGATTAACATCCCCTCAATGACTCCAAACCCAATATTACAAACTTATGGTACAAACCAAAGCAACATATGGCTTCATTTCCCATGCCTGGAGATTTGTATTATCTATAATTACTGGAGATACCTTCTTCTCAAATGCTTCTTTTGCTGAAAAACAATACAAAATGACATCATTTTAGTAATTTTAAATACAGGATGGACATAGTGGTGACAGACTAGGAGTCAGATTCCCTGGTAGGCAGACAACAGAGAGAGGGGACATGGCTAGGTAATAAAGTTTCCAAGATGGCCAGCTTCTTCCTCAAACTCCTGAGTTGAGATAAAAGCCTGGTGGCTTAAAACAAAGGGTGGCTACACAGTCTTTTGTCTGCCACCAGAAGGCCCTCACTGATGAACTGGCTCAACCAGTTCAAGGCCCGTTCAGAGACCTGGGTCACACAACAGTTCTAAACCAACCAACCATCCTGGCTTTCTTCAAACTGACCAGTCATAAACTAGGAGGAAAACTCTTCAGAGGCTTTGAAAATCCCAGCCCTAGAGAAGAGACTGGATTTTTTCTCTTCCAGTGTCCCCTCTCTGCTTTGCAGAGGGTATTTTTCTATGTATGTCTATTGTAATTTAAGAAAAGCAGCCCGTGAGAGAAAGATGACATGCAACAGGGTTCAAACAGAGGGTTTTTTATTAAGGAAAGGGATCATAAAAAAGAGGAAAAGGGGATTGGGGGGAGAAGACTGGACTCACAGACAAGAGCAACAGGAGAGAGGAAAGGCGGGGGGGGGGGGGGGGGGGGGGGGAGAGGGGGGGCAAGGGGGTCTGGGGTTTTTAATTATTTAAATCTTTTTGAAAAAAAAAAACGGCAGCAACTGAGGTCATATCCTGTCAAGACCCCACAGGCAGGCCAGACAGAGATGCCTGAATACTAACAATGTCTGTTGTTACATGTGTGTGTTTCCTCACCCCCCAGTAAATACCTTTCTTCAACTGCTGGGTGCTTGAGGTGTCTCTGCTGCTGCCTGTGGCACTGCAGATTTTCCTGCCTTTTAATTCTTTAACAGACAGACAAAACAAACCCAACCAAGACCTACAGACTATATCAGTGGCAAGTTCCAGGACATTGAGAGATACATATTAGAGAGACCCTGTCTCAAAAGACCAAATAATTTTGTTTTGTTTTTTGTTGTTGTCGTTGTTGCTGTTTCTTTTCGGTTTTTTGAGACAAGGTTTCTCTGTGTAGCTATGGAATCTGTCCTGGAACTTGCTCTGTAGATCAGGCTGGCACTGAACTCTGACTATGTAGCTCTGACTATCCTGGAACTCTCTATGTAGACCACCTGCTTCTGCCTCCCAGTGTGGGTGCTGGGAATAATATAGCATTGCCACCTTGCCCAACATAGATATTCTCTTTAGTAGTTTCCTACCTTACTTTAGAGGCAGGGTCTCTCAAGCCCCAGGGACCCTCCTTGTCCCTACCTCCCTAGCGCCAGGATTACAAGCACATACTACTGACTTTTATGTGAAGGCTGGGAATTGAGCACATGTCCTTGTGCCCCAAAATTTAACTGTTAATTCTCATTTACCTCTTATTGCGAAACCTAAGAATTCCTAACTCTTTCTTTTCTTTTTTGTTGTTGTTGTTGTTGTTTTTTGTTTTTCAAGACAAGGTTTCTTTGTGTAGCCCTGGTTGTCCTGGAACTCACTCTGTAGACCAGACCTGGCTGGTCTCAAACTCTTGGAGGTCTTTCTCCTGCCTTTGTCTCTGGAGTGCTAGGGTTAAAGGCATATACCACCCACCACACCTGGCTAACTACAAATTCTTCCGGGCTCTCACTGGCCATAGCTCAGTGGCAGCACACTTGTATAGCATGTGTAAGTACCACAAAACCTAAGTAAACAAAGTTCTTTAAAGTGCTAAGTCTCTCAAAACACCAATCCTAAAGAAAACTTTCTCTTTATACTACTTTTAACATCATGCAGACCCTCACACCTACTCTTACCTCGATTCTGATTCCATTCATGGGCTTCTCCTAAGTACTTTACATCAAACTGGTACTGTCCATTTATATAAAAATAATCATCAGTACTAAGAATGACTCCACTTGGGTTATCCTCTTGCAAAGTCCTATGAATGACAAAGGGGATTACTCCCATTAATTTTCTTTCCAAAAATCTCTCTTCTTTATTAGTCATAATTCAAATAAAAATCCAAGTAATAATATTTAAAGGATCAATAAAATTCAAATAAATTACACTAGAAATTATCTAAGCAAAAAGTTCAACACTTCAAAAACAAACTAAGATAAGACAGGTCTATTCTGCTTTATACAAATTATTCAAAAATGCAGTTTGGTTTTGCTTTATGCAGAATCTTGTGTAGTTCAGGCTGGCCTCAAACTTACTGTCTAAGCAAGGTGACCTTTAACCCTTAGTCTTGCAGCCTTTACATCTCAAGTGCTGAGACTGCAGGCATGACCAGCAGACATGGTGCTCTATTCCTTTCAAAGGTGCACACATCTGAGCTATCTAAATAAAACTGTAATCACAGGCTGGGGAGATGATGGTTAATGCACAAGCATAAACTACTTGTCATGTAAGCTTGAAGTATGTTCAGATGCCCAGGACCTATGGTAAATGCTGCGTGAGTATGGCAGCCTCCCAGTAATTCCAGTGCTTGGAAGATGGAGACAGGAGATACCTGGAGCAAGGCAGCTAGCCAGACTTGTTGTAGCAAGCTCTGGATTCTATTGAGAGACCCTGACTCAATGAAAAAGGTAGAATGGAATGATGAAGACACCCAAAATCAACCTAGGCCTCCACACATGCACACATATGTCCCTGCAAATACACATGGGCCCAAACTTATGCAAACACATACATACATAAGAGAAAAAAGGTGAAACCACACTGTGGGATTCCTTTCAGTTTTTCTCAACTTCTCTTTCAGGATCAATTCTTAGCCTCTGTCTTCCACCCTTATAGTTTAAGAAAATTATATTAAAAAAAAAAAAAAATCCATCATGGGCTGGAGAGATGGCTCAGCGGTTAAGAGCACTGATTGTTCTTCCAGAGGTCCTGAGTTCAATTCCCAGCAACTACATTGTGGCTCACAACTGCCTTGAATGAGATCTGCATGCAGGCAGAAGACTATATACATAATAAATAATAAAATCTTTAAAAAAAATCCATCGATTACTTTTCCAATAAATCCCAAAACCTAGCTGTTCCATTTGATCTTCCTGTCACATGCTAATGCTAACTTAATGTTATAAACCATACTCCCACTTGTTTCTATGAACAATATAGCTCCTATTTTGTGGCAAAAACTTCTCTCCCCACTCTGAAACCTAGTTCGACAATCTATCACCTTTTAAAGTATTACTTTCATTCCATTAATTTCACAAACAACTGCTGTAACTGACTTTCTATTAATACTTTTATTATAGAATATAGGTAACATTACTTTATATTGCTATTACTTAGGCTAGAGATGTAGCTCAATTGGTAGAATGTTTTCCTGCCATGCACAGGGTTCTGGGTTTGATCCCTGTTATCATACATCAGCTATTTTGGCACACACCTGTAACCCCAGCCCTTGAGGGTTTAGAGGCAAGAGTACAGAAATGCATGACCTTGACTACAGTACCTGTGAGTTTGAGAACAGACTAGGATACAAGACCCTCTATCTCAACACACACACACACACACAGAGAGAGGGGGGGGTATTACTAAATCAATGAGAAAAGCCTATGGCTACAAAAATAAATTCAAATTTAGGAGGAAAAAAGCAAATATATCTTAAAAGTTAATGGCCAAGGGCTCTGGAGAGGAACTAAGGAAGCAATTCTCTTAAGAATACCTTTGAAGCCATAATCATAGGGCTATTCTAACCTTAATTCTGGTCTCCCACATCAAAGCACTAACAACCTACCTAAACTACAAAACTGGCATAACAACATAAGCAAGGGAATTGTATTTTCCTACAAAATAAAACTTTGGGCCAGGAATAGTAGCACAAACCTTTAATGTGAACATAGTAAGATCCTGGCTAGCCAAAGCTACAGAGACCCTATTTCAAAAGCCAAAAATAAACAGCTTAAGATTGTTGAGTTGTGTGATAACTGCTATTCATCTCTTTCTTATAACTTCCTTATAATCATGTTTCTTTTGTTTTTTGTGGGGTGTTTTATTTTTGTTTGTTTGGGTTTTGTTTTTTGGAGTTTTTTTGTTTTTGTTTTTGAGACATGGTTTCTCTGTGTAGCCCTAGCTGTCCTGGAGCTTGCTCTATACTCCAGTTTGGCCTTGAACCCAGGTATCTTCCTGTCTCTGCCTCCAGAGTGCTGGGATTGAAGTTGTATGCTAGGATTAAAGGAGTATGCCACCATATCTACCAATTATTCTTAATTTTCAAGACTGGTTTTTATACCCCTAAGCTAAATTCATCTTTCTCCCAATCAAATTATTTGCTCTGGTCCACATAAAGGTATTTCACAGTCTCACTCTTCTTTAACATTTTTCCTTTGTCTGTCAAAGATGTTCTGAGAAAAAGATTTCAATAAAAACTTTTAGAAAAAATAATGGGTTTTTTTTTGGTTTGGGTTTCTCAAGACAGAATGTCTCTGAGTAACAGTCTTAGCTATCCTGGAATTAGATTTGTAGACCAGGCTGGCCTCGAACTCAAGAGATCCGACTTCCTCTGCCTCCCAAGTGCTGGGATTACAGGAGTATACCACCACTATCTGACTAATGATTATTATCTTAAAAGAAAAAAGAGTAAAGAAAAAATACTTCAGTTATTAACTACCTGTTAAGCAAAGTGTACTGTATATTCACATTTGCTGTACAAATTCATGTATTATACTTTCTAAAAAATGCCAATTAAAACTTCATACCTTGCCAGAAAGGACTTCCCCGAGCCTGGCAGCCCTCTGAGAAGCACGAGAACTAAGCCAACATAAGACGTGGTTTTCTTCCTCACAGGCTGGGACACTGGGGCCTCTTGCACTTGGTAAGCACTTGTTCCCTCACTGTTTCTCCATACTTTTGTTGGGGAAGTATGAGAGATCATGGAGGGTGGAAATGTATAGTTGACAGGTCTCCAGTGTGCAGCTGTGGTTACAACAGGTGCTACGAAGCCATGGTTTCCTTGAAAGAGGTCAAAAGCAGGAATCATGGGGTTCCAAATTGGTGGAGGTGGCGGAGGAGGAAGGAGTAAAGGGAGAGGGGCAAGAACTGGGCAGTAACTCATATCCTTCCCCTTTGGTGGCAGTTCAGGATGTTTGTGTGGCTTGAAACTGAACCCTTCAGAGGGCACAAAAACGTCAGGCACAGAAGCAGATTTCTGATCTCCATTGGTACCTGGTAAATCACGCCCTGGATTTTGCAAAGGTAGATTTGAAGGAACCTGAGGTTCACTGGTACCCAAATCTACAAGGGCTTGAGACTGTTGTGCACTAGGACACTCGGGTTCTAAAAGATCTTTCTGTCTTTGGCTAAAATTGCCACAACCCGGAATAGAGTCATTTGTTGGATTTAAAGAGCTACTGAGAGGAGAATCTTCTGGGAAGCTACGTTCTAATGGCAGTGTGCTACCCTTTGTAAAACTTTCAGGCTCACTCCTAACTGAATGTGGAGTCAATGGGTTTGAACCTGGTGAAGCAGCAGAATTCTGGAGAATTTCACTGTTTGAGCTGGTATTCTGTACAGAAAGAACAGGAGTCATACCACCTGAATCTGAATTCATAAAGGTAGAAGGGTCATTAAAACTCTTAGCATCCTGTAAAGGCAAAAATGAATATACTTGGTCATCGGGAGAAGAATTCAATTTCTCAAAAGCATTCTGTATTAAAGAATCCAAGTCTTCAGTTAGCTGCATATCCAAAAATGAATCCAGTTTTGAATCCTCGCCGTCATCTTCAGGAGGATGCATCTCCACTACTGCACTTCCTGACGCACCTGCCTTGTCCTCACAAGCAACAGAAGTTTGTAAAGGTGACTCTTCCATCTTGGCATCAGTGGCAGATAATTCTAATAGACAGTCCATGGCATTTTCAACTGCATGAGAACAATAACAGGGAACAACAAAAATACATATATACCCTCAAAGTGTATCAACATTCAGGCCATCTTTTAAAAATTAACACTACTAAATCAAACTCTACATTAGAGAAGTATCAGTGACAAAGCTACTGAATGGTATTCTTTCAAACTGTAATAAACTACTATCAATTACAAATTTTTGACCAGTTTACTAAGCATAGACTACACATATATATGAGGACCATTTATAAAGGTCCTAGAGCCAGCTGACTCATTCAACAGCTATTGACCTACTGTATGTCCTATTGAGGATAAGGTACTTTAAGTATCTTAGTTAACCTACTCATGTATATGGTCCACACTATGTTTTGCACAACAGAAAAATATATGAATCAGAAATACTTTGTACAAAAATGAAGACATTTTTAAAACAAAGGATTTTATATAAAGTTTAAGTGGACTATAAAGACATGTACATAAAAATGTATTTACATCATAGTAAAAATTAAACAATGTGTACTTTTAATAATACAGAAATACTATAGTGATAGAAAGGAGAATAAGGAAAGATTTCACATAAAGTAATATATGATCTGGCACTTAGATTAAAAATCAAATTGCCGAGCCAGGCGTTGGTGGCACACGCCTTTAATCCCAGCACTCCGGAGGCAGAGGCAGGTGGATCTCTGTGAGTTCGAGGCCAGCCTGGTCTACAAAAGCGAGTGCCAGGATAGGTTCCAAAAAGCCACAATGAAACCCCGTCTCAAAAAAACCAAAAACAAAAACAAAAACAAATCAAAATGCCAAACAAGGCAAAAGTTAAAGTCAAGCCTGAAAATACAAAACTGCCTTTAGTCCCAGCACATGGAATGCAGAGGCAGGCAGATCTCTGAGTTCAAAGCCAGCCTGGTCTACAGATTGAGATCCAGGACAGCCAGGACTACACAGTGAGACCCTGTCTCAAAGAAAAGAAAACATAAAACCTGTTTCAAGTATTCAAAGAAGTTGGTTGGAAAGTTAGTACACAGGGTTCTGTGCAATGGATAAAGGAGGAAGATAAAACTGGAGGAGACCGGGTAAAACTGAGAAGTCCTATATGTCACACTGTTTTCTAAGGGAATGTAAGGAAGGAAAACTACCAGCCACAGTATTTGGGCTACGAACATTACACAGATCACCTCACTGAATCTTCAATTAATACTGTAAGATCTATTGTTCTAGAAAACATAAAGAAACTGAAGCTCAAAAAAGTATTAGGAACTAGAGCCAAGTCACACAGTAACAGAGCCAGGGCCAGTGTGTCTGACTGCTTGCAACAGTGTCAGAGAGCCATCAGGTTTTAAATATGTAAGAGCTAGGGACACTGCTCAGTGGCAGAGTGCCTGGTGAGAATACTTGAGGCCCTGGGTTTGATAATAGGCACCTCAAGAAAAGAAAGTAATTTAAGCACTCAAAATTTGGAGATCTTTTTTTTTTAAGTTTCCGTTTTGTATTGTTTTGTTTTAAGGAAGACAAACATGGGAAAGAACAGCACATAGGACACAGCTCTGTTCTGGAGTCAGAACACCACCATTTAAATCTCTACGTGCTTGACATGATACCTCAAGCAAGCTCGCTAACCTCCCTAAGACGACGTTCTTGTTTGTAATAGGGGGTAATAAAAGTACCTACCTCATAGGTTGATGTGGGATTAAATGAGATAATCCATGAAAAGTGCGGTGCACAAGGACTGGCACCTAGTAAGCACCCAATTAATGTTCCCTTAAGAGAAAAACAAAGAGGGGTTGGAGGGGCAGGCCTGACAGAGAGGTCAGTTAGGAGAACAGAGCAAAACTATAAAGGCAAGAAGCCCTAAACACTGAAACAAAGTATAGGGGAAAAAAAGCAAACAGAAGAAAAACAAACAACAACAACAACAAAAAAAAAAAAACTCACATGGTAGATGAACCAAAAATGATCAACTAGAAAACTAGCATATTTTATAATGAAACACAGTATAAGTAAAATACCATGATACAGAGGTAATTATCATTAAATAGAAGTCTTAAACAGATTGCTGGAAATTTAAAACTCTTGATACAAAAAGACCTTAAAAACTAAATGAATAACTTATAGAATATGAGAAATATAATAATGGTCAACATTATTCTTTATTTTAAAAAGGTAAGAAAAGGCAATTTTATTCCTACTAAAACCTTAAAATAATTATTCACAATGCTAAGAAGGCTGTGGTGGTGTTACACACTGGCATACCTCACTGGTAGGTAATTTAGCAGAATATTCCCAAGACCAGAAAACTATTTTTTTATTTTTATTATTATTTATTTTATGTGCATTGGTGTTTTGCCATGGGTGTCAGGTCCCTTGGAACTGGAGTAACATACAGTTGTGAGCTGCCATGTGGGTGCTGGTAATTGAATCTGGGTCCTCTGGAAGAGCAGCCAGTGCTCTTAACTGCTGAGCCATCTCTCCAACCCCAGAACACTATTCTTAACCTGTGCTGCAAGAAGTAAAGCTTTGGGGCTAAGAAGAAAGCCAAAAGAAACAAAAGACAACTTCACTGAAATGTTCTTTGTAATAATGATGATTTATGAGAAACATAGATTAGAGTACAACTCATTGGAGCATTGGGAAGCCACCTAAGAGAAACACAGAAAGCTTGCTATAAAGCAAAGAAATCTGTAAGAGCACTGCAAACTTTTTCATTATATGATGTTTTAAAAAGCAGAATATAGCCGGGCGTTGGTGGCACACCTTTAATCCCAACACTCAGGAGGCAGAGGCAGGTGGATCTCTATGAGTTAGAGATCAGCATGCTCTACAAGAGCTAGTTCCAGGACAGCCTCCAAAGCCACAGAGAAACCCTGTCTTGAAACCCCCCCCCCAAAAAAAAAGCAGAATATAAAATGTCATCAATACTATTATTTAAGGTACTCATAATATCAAGTGTTTATTAAGAAGGTCTACAGGACATCCTGAAAAAGAGAAATGAGTTTGTTAGGACCCAGGATAACATAGTCGTGATTCTCCAATGCTTCATACATGTATGTTCAACAAATAAAATGTAAAGACAACAAAATTAGGAAATAAGTGCACCAGTCATTTACAGCATGCTACCTGCTATTGCTTCTGAGCACCGAATGAAACCTAGGTTTTGGTATATATCATAACAGGAGAGAAATGCTCACATCACAGCTCACAAAATGACTTAGAATGTAAGTTTACCAGGCATTAGCAAAACCTTCAAATCTAAATGATTTTATCTTATAATAACCATAGCAAAAACAATATTAAATTTTATCCACACAGCCAACTTAAGAGTTCTTTTTGCCTGCAAACATACCTCTAAACAATTTAATACAGGTTATTTATTGCCTATTTACTAAAGTCTTTACTAAAATCAAACAACAAAATAAACCTTTAATCCTCACCAAGAAAGTCATACCGTATAAGATACATACTATTATATTTTATTAACAAATTAGGAAAACAAACTCAAAGACGTCAACAGCACCAACCTGTCTAGAGGAGACAAGAGAGAATAAAATGAAGACTACATCTGTATTCATGCATCTTACAGCTACAACCATACATTTCTTCACAGTAAGAAGCATTGATTTGTCACATCTCTAGTGATACCAAACTCTGTACCTTTGTCCATGGGAGATAACTTATGATAAGCAAAATAAGAACATCATTTTCTGCATTGCTATTCAATCTTCTTATAAGATGCAAAGGGTTCAAACTAAACTTTTCTCACCTTTAAAATCACATTCAGAAAGCATCAAATACACTACATCAGGATCCAGAGCGGAAAACATCTCTGAGATACTGGTGAAGAGTTCCTCCTGATCAATTTTTGTCTCACACATGGAAGGAAGAGTAGTGGCTGGCTCCTCATGACCAGCAACACGGGACACGACAATTTCCCGAGAGTTTGCAGTCTTCCGCAAAGGAGTTCCCCCAAGACTTTTCCTTTTCCTTGGCATTCTGACTTCCAAAACTAAAATAGTTCCCTTTTTAAAAAAATTTAAAGATTTTTGACATTTAAATCATAACTCAAAGAAAAATTGTATTAAAAATCTTGCAAATCCAGTAGTAATAGGACCTAAAATAGAAAGCAAGTAAAAATACTCAGACTACATAATTATATTTCCACCTCTAAGATGGAATGACATCTCTGTGTAACTCTAAGAAAGTCCCACCAACTCTGGCAGCAAAGCCAAAAGCAAGTCACCTGATCTCCAAAACACTCTAGTTTTGTCAGTATTGAACATGTTAAAAATTAAAATAACAACACAGCATAACATATTTCTAAATAATAAATTACTGTTTTAATACTATTAGTTAATCTCTTAAGCATAAAAGGGGCTTTAAACCAGAATGTCTACTGAACATATATATTTGGATATCTAATAAACATCCTAAACTTAACATCTCTAATACTAAGCACCCCCATCACTCCCTTCAAACCTGCTCTCCTGGTATTTCCATCTCAGTTAATATAACTCTATCTCTAGATGCTCAGGTCAAAGTCTTGGAATAATCCTTGCCTCTCATCCAAGTGGAAAGACAATCTGGCAATGCAATTTCTAAAGCGTGTTCCTTATCCCCTCAACTGCCGTCCCCCCAGACTTAATTATAACCACCTTTCTACCAGATTGCACTAACAGACTGAACAATCACCCCACTTCCATTCTTTTTCTTTCAGCCTACTTAACACAAGCAGTGACAGCTAATCCATAGGATGGATGCCACTTTCCTTCTGCTAAAGTGTCTCTAATTTCCCATCTCACTCAGACAGAGTGCCATTAAAATAGCCTGTCATTCAAACACTTGCCATTGTGGTAGTACCTTCCCTAATCTTTTGCTCTTGCCACCTGAAGCACATTAGGCCTCCTGGCTCTTCTGCTCCTCTTCAAGGTTTCAGCCATGCTCCCACCTGGGACCACTTTGGCTCCCTCCACCTACTTTTCTACCAGGTATCTATCTATAAGATGGATTTTCTCATCACCTTATTATTACTCAAATGTGACCATAATGTTAATTCAGAACAAGAAGATTTTTTCATGTAGCCCAGGTAACCTTGAACTCCCTATGTATCCAAGAATGACTCTGAACTTCTGAGCCTCTTGCTTCCACCTTCAGTTTTATGTGGAGCCAGGATCAAAACCCAGGGCTTTATTTATGTATGCTAGGCAAGCATTCTACTAAATGAGCTGCATCCTCACTTTCCTCAAACATACTTCATTTCTTACTTGGATTTCCTTCCTAAGCATTTGTTATCTTCTAGTATGTTACTCACTGACTGTGTTTATTTACCATATCCAGTAGGATGTAAGTTCAACAAGAGGGACTGTGGATCTGGAGTACATCCACAGTCTACTTGTTTTCTCTGCTTGGATATGTCTAATAAACACCTCCAACTTAACATCTCTAAAATTAATTATCTTTAATTACAGAGGTTTTAAAAGATGATAACCTCTGAAATTAAATGCCTTAATATTCTTCCCAAAATCCAACCCAACCACTTGGTCTGGCAACCTTCATCTTGCTCCTACATTCCTATCCCCTAACTTGTCTCCACATTCCTCTAGTGTCTATTTTCAACATATCAGCCATAGTAATCTTTATACAACCCAAGCTGGCATGGATCAGTATCTACTCTAAGCTCTCAAGTATTTTTCCAGGTCATTCAGAGTAAAAGCTCAAGTTCATGCAATGGCCTGCCTCCCTGCCAGCCATGATTACTAGCGTTGATAATTCTCACTCTTAAAGTTTTTGTTCTCTTTTCAAGTGTCATATTCAAGAATTTCTTCCCTGACTATCCAATTCAAAGTCAAATATCCCACACTCCATCTCTCAAGCTCCCCTTTCTAGCTAATAACTCATTGCTCTTAACATCTTTTAACATACTATAAAATTTACCTTTTAATTAAATTTGTGTCATAGCTCCCTCCACCTTCCAGTAATATGACAGCCACCAGCCACATGTGCCTAAATTTAAATTAATTAAAATTAAAGAAAATTACTTTTATATATTATATCAGATATAAGTAGAATTTAGATCAAAGATTATCGGGGGGGGTGTCATTGTGTAATAATAAGGACTAATCCACCAGAAAAAAATATAAAGCTATAAAGCTAAATTCTATACATCAAAAACATAACTACAAGCAGGGAAGAAAAGGAACTAAAAGGAAAAGTAAACAAATTTCACTTTAGTCCAGATCTCAATACTGCACTATCAGCAGTAGAAAAACTAGACAATACCCAAGAACACAGAACTCAACACCACCAACAATTAGGGACACAGAAGTTTACCATGATAAGCCATAACCTATATGGCATAACAAGTTTTAACAAGCTCCAAAGATAAGCTCTCTAACCACAGAGACAAACTAGAAATCGGTAACAGAAACAGGAAAACCTTCAAACAATTGGAACCTGAGCAACATACTTTTAACTGATCAAAAAGACCAAGTCTTGGGGCTAGGGAGATAGGTCAATCTGTAAAAAGCTTGGGGCACCAGCATAAGGACCTGACTTCAGGCCCCAGAACCCCATAAAAAGCTAGGCATAGTACAGTTGCTTATAATCCCACAGCAGGCAAGGAAAGAGAGCTGGAGCTGACTGGCCGATCAGCCCACCAACCCATGAAAATGAAACTCACAAAGACATTACATTTGTAAATTATAGGAGTATCTCACTAATACAAACAGATATCAAAACAGTAACAGATAAGCTACACTTTTTCATTACTGTGACAAAGTATTTGCAATAAACTAAAAGAGGAATTATTTATTTTCAGCCATGGTTTCCTGTTTTAGCTTCTGGTCTCAAGGCTCCATTGCTATGCCCCCTATGATGAGGCAGATCAGACAGCAGGTAGGGAGGATGCTTCCTGCCAGCTCCTGGAGAAATGACAAGTGCTGGGACCTCCCTACTCATCACCTACTTCCTCCAACCACAGACCCACTTCCTAGTTTCCACCCTTTTAAATTAATGCCAAATTATGAATTAACCAGTGAACTGATCCAATGATTACATCAAACCCCTTATGATCCAATCACCTCTCAAAGTCTATGTCCACCAGCTAAGGACCAAGCCTTTAACACAGATCCCTCTAGACACTTCATTCGTAAACCACTTAAGTTACATTAGGGACATAAAAATGCAATGCATCAGTTTACTGACTATGACTTTTTTAATGTTTGAAAAATCAATTAATACAACTCCTCATATTAAACAAAGCAAAAGAAAATGACATAATCAACTCACTGTGCATAGGCCACTGATCTGAAAAAATATCCACAGGTGCTCAAGATAACTCGAACAAACTGGAAACACAAAGGAACTGATGAAGGCACTTTAAAATGCCCCAAACTGCTGACAGCTTTCCTTCTGCAAACAGAAAAGCAGAATCCTGCCACAATCACTTCCCTACTACACTGTACCAGAGGTCACAGGCAGCGGGTAAGGCTAGAAGAAAAGGAAATAAAAGGTCTAGGGGAAAAAGCCAGGTGTGACAGGTCACAGATCTCGGAGTTCCAGGCCAGCATGGTCTACATATTGAGTTCCAGGACAGCCAGGCTATGGCTCCAAAATCCAGGAAAAATGAAATGTTCTAACATAAAGAAATACATATAAAGAACTATCATTATAGAGTACTGAATTCATCGGGTAATTTAGCAAGATTGATGGCATTTCTTTAATGAATTTATTGTTGTTGTTGTTATTATTACATGTGCCTGAGGCTAGGGTAGGGGTGTGTGTGCCATAGTACACATGTGGAGGTGGGAAGACTGTGGAGTTAGTTTTTCTCCCTCCACCTTTACATGAGTTCCACAGATCGCATTCAGACCTTCAGGCTTGTATAATAATGCTCTACCCTAGCCCCATCTATATTCCTGTATAGTAGCAACAGGTAGAAAGGGAATTTGGCTAGGGAAATAGCTCAGTGGTGTAACACTTATCCAGTAAGCATGTGGCTGCTCTGGGATCTATCTGAAATATCAAAGGGGAAGGAAAAGAGAAGCAGTGAGCAAAGGGAGAGGAGAAGTCAGGAAAATATAAATCTCAACTTCATTTCTCCATCCTTACCTTTCCACAGTTGCTCAATTCATCCTGAGATCTTAGCCTCTTAAGGACACTACCACTCTCAGGGTCTTCTCATCGCTCACCTTCAAACAATGGAGTGTCTTAAAACCTCTTTTTGTCTGTTTCCTCTACTCTTTGGTGGTTTCATTCAAACTAATTGCTTAAAACCCAAGCAACATGCTAATAAATTAACATGTTCTAATTTGGCAAGCAACTCTCCCTGCCCCTGATGTCACACTCCCCACTGAGCTTGGTCCTCAGCTGGTAGATCCGATGGTTGAGATGTGACTAGATGGAGAGAGCTCCGACCTAATCAAGATTAATACGTGGATGGATTAACAATTGGGTAATGGTAGAAACCTGGAGGTGAAGCTTGTTTAGAGGAAGTAGAAGTAGGTCACTGCCACTGGAGGTGTGACATGAAGAGTCTGTCTGGCCCTACCTGACTCCTCCACTCCAGGGAGGAAACTCCTCTGCTGCTCTCCACATGCTCCAGCCACGGTGTTCTGCCTCACCGGAGGCCCGGATCAAAGGAGCCAGAAGCCTTGGAAACAAGGTGCTGCATAAATCCTTCCTTAAACTCTTTCCTCCATTGCTTGTTCGTCGATCACAGTACTCAATAAACATCCAAGCCAGCTATATGTAAATATCAGCTAAGAGCAATTGCCAGTTGCTGAAACCAAAAACCTAATAGTTGTTCTGTTGTTGTTTGGAGACGATGTCACACTCAGTAGTGTAGTGACATATTATTTATGATTTATTAACGTTTGCCCTAGGTTTCAGACAGCAAAGTCAGCCACAAGCCATAGAAGCCAGGCAGACACCTTTAATCCCAGAAGCCAGAGCTAGGAGGTAGTAGTACAACCTTTAATCCTAGGACTCAGATTAAGAGATAGATGGATCTCTGTGAGTCCAAGGCCACCCAGATCGACACAAGAGTGAATCAGTCTAAAAGAGAATTATAGCTCACACCTTTGATCCCAGCACTAGAGAGGTAAATAAGATAGGAGCAGGATCTCAGTATCAGGCATTCATTCTCCAGCCACACTGAAGAGAGGTTACAGTCTGAGGCTTGATGAAAGCTCGTGGAGACAGGATCCGCCCATTCGGCCTGAGGGAGAGGTAAGAAGCTAGTGGCCAGCTGCTTAGCTTTTCTGCTAGTCAGCTTGAAGTTTGAACCCCAATATCAGTCTCTGGGTCTTTTATTTATGGTGTTACACTGTAAGCCCAGCTGGCATCCACCTAGCAGAGTGCTGGGACTAGAAGCTGGTACCACATGAGCAGCTCGACTCCCATTTCCCTTATAACTCAAATCTTAAGCACTTTATAAAACCTTATAGGTCCAAATTCAAAATATGTTTGTAGCAAAGCACAGTGGGTAATGCCTTTGATCCCAGTACTCAGGAGGCAGAGGCAGGTGTATCTCCGTGAAGCCAGCCTGGTCTACATCATGAGTTTCAGGGCAGCTGAGACACTGTCTTGAAAAAAATTTTAAAAAGATACATTTGATAATCCAATCAATTCTTATTATCTCCACCTGGATTAAAGACAGCATCCTGTCTAGACATATCATCTTTATTAAAACAGAATATACATATATATACCATAAAATTCACTGTCTAGTGGTTCCCAACTTTCCTAATGCTGCAACCCTTTAATAGAGTTGCTCATATTGTGGTGACCCCAATCATAAAATTATTTTCGTTGCTACTTTATAACTATAATTTTGCTACTGTTATTAATCTTAATATATCTGTGTTTTCCAAAGGTTTTAAGTGACCATGGCAGAAGGGGCATTCAACCCCCCAAAGGGGTCACAACCCACAGGTTGAGAACCACTGATTTAGGGGTGTTTTTCTTTTTCTTTATTTATAGTTGTGTATGTGTTTGGGCTTGGTTACCTATGTGTGCACCACACATGTGCAGGTGCCCTCAAAAGCCAGAAAAATGTGTCAGAATTCCTGAAACTAGAGATACAGGTGGTTGTAAACTGCACAGAATGGATGCTGGGAGCCAAACCCAGGTCCTCTGGTCCTCTGCAAGAGCAGCAAGTGCTTATATAACTGCTGAGCTACACCTCTGCCACCTCTTCTTTCTTTTTGGTTTTTTTGTTTTTATTTATTGTTTGGGTTTTTTGGTGTTTGTGACGCAAAGGATTAAACCCGGGGCCTCATATATATTAGGCAAGTGCTCCATCACTCAGCCAATACCCCCCCTAGACTAAAATTCATTTTGAAGCACACGACTCAGAGGCTTTTTGGTTTATTTACAGAACTGTACAACTATCACAATCTAATCCCAGAACATTCCTAACATATCCTCGTCCATGAGTGCTTAATCCCATTCCCCTCCTCTCACCCTATTTATATAGAGTGCCTACTCAGGAAACTGTACAAATGGAGCCATGCAATATGGCCTTTTTATCACATTTTTGGTTTGTTTCACTGGCTTAACATTTTCAAACTTCACCTAAGTTGTAGCCTATAACAGCAGCACTTCATTCACTTTGTTGCTGAGCAAAAGGCTATGGTACGAACACATCACACCATATTTAACAACTTTCCAAAAGATGGAAATTAGAATATCTACTTTTGATTATAATATATAATCTTACTCTAAACATTCTTTTTTAGTATTTATTTTATTTTATGTGCATGGGTATTTTGCCTGCATGTATATAAGTACACCACATGTGTACAGTGCCCAAGGAGACCAGAAGAGAACACTGGATCCCCTGGAACTGGAATTAGACACTGTTGTGAGCCAACATGTGGGTGTTTGGAATTGAACTTGAGTCCTCTGGAAGAGCAGCCAGTGCTCTTCACCACTGAGCCATCTCTCCAGCCCCATTCGAAAATTCCTGAATGAGCTTTAGATACATGTTTTCACATTCCTTAAAATGGAATTCTAAATCATATGGTAACTGTTCAGCCTTTTGAGGAACTACTAGACTATTCTTCCTTGAGGTGCATCACTGCAATTCCTAGTAAAATTTTCAAGGGTTCCAATTTCACTATATCCCTGTCACCAATACCTGTTGTTGCTCTTCTTTTTGTTTTTCCTTTTCCTTTTTCTTCTTCTTTTTTTTTTTT